AAATATGCAGTTTGGATTGGTGGTTCAATTCTTAGTTCATTATCAACATTTCAAACAATGTGGATTTCGAAACAAGAATATGATGAATCAGGTCCATCGATTGTTCATCGAAAATGTTTTTGAAAACAATAGATATTTTTAATGTATATAATGAATTTTTTTTTATTTTCAAAATAAAGTTTATGAAGTGGAAAAGCCTTGTTTGTTTGATATGTTATTAACCTTACAAAAAGGAATTATCTTCATTCTCTATTAATTCTTACAAAATAGAAGCCCAGTGGACTTCTAATTTGTTTTAAAAGTAAAAAATTTGAAGGTAGACTACTGTTGCGATCAACCTTTTTTGTGTTGAAGCTATATTTTTTCATTAGCTTACAAGTATAGAAGTACTCAACAATTAATAGATCAAGATTTGCAAATTATGTAACCAGTTTCAGAATACCTATAATATTTTTTGTGGAGTAGGAGACTGATGATCAGTTCTGTCTTGGTTCCATACTATTAAGTAATGTAGCAACAAAAAGATCAAAATACAAAATGAACAGTGAGAATGAAGATCTATCTCATAAAATGAAATTTATTTTAGTCTCTATTCTATTCTATTCTATCGTATATGATTAAAAAGCACATTCTAATTTTCAGATACAGTCATGTTCTACTAATTAATATAAAATTTGATGAATGCAGCCGTTACAAATGTTACAAAAAGATAAACGATATAAGCCTTTCTTCAATCATAATTCTTTTTTGCCATTATCGTTAAAAATTATAGTGGCAACTTTCGTATTATATTCACCTATTTCAACCTGTAGTTTGACGAATGCATTTCAAAGAGAAAAAAGAAGTCAGACAGACAAACAACAGAATAACAAAAAAAACACCTTCTATAGTAATACTAATAGAAATCTCACCTCCATTGGTTGCAACAGTAACAAATCAACAGAATGACTTAAATAAAATTGACACTCAAATTTTATCAACATACACTTTTAAAAAAACCTTCACGGAATTTTAAAACTAAATAGAATGTCATGCAATTGCATGGAAGATTTACATCCAATTGTTATTGATAATGGCTCAGGGGCAATCAAGGCCGGTTTTGCTGGTGATGGTCAACCATACACAATTTTTTCCACTGTTATTGGCCGTCTATGTCATTCTACAATCGTATCTGAATTCAGTCGTAAAAATCATTATATTGGAAATGATGTAATAAAAAATAAAAAAAATTTATCTATTCATTATCCAATTGAACATGGTATTATTACAAATTGGGATGATATGGAAAAAATTTGGCATCATACTTTTGCTAATGAACTTCGTGCTGCACCTGAAGAACATCCTGTTTTACTTAGTGAAGCACCATTAAATCCTAAAGCTAATCGTGAAAAAATGGCACAAATTCTTTTTGAAAAATTTAACATACCTGGTAATAATTTCTCTTTATTCGAAAGTATACGGTAAAGACATGGGCGGGATCAATCGTTTTTTGTTTCCAATTTCATCAGGAACACAATCATCTTGCCCATATCTAATATTGTATCTGTGTTTTTGTTTAGCTATGTATGTAGCAATGCAGTCTGTTCTTTCATTTTATGCGATTGGTAGAATACTTGGTGTTGTTCTTGAAATTGGTGATGGTGTTTCACATACAGTACCTATTTTTCAAGGTTTACATTTATTTTCTATTCTTACTATCTACTAACGAGTCAAGTTATAGGTTATGCTATACCACATGCAATTAATCGTCTTGATTTAGCTGGACGTGATTTAACTGATTTTATGGTTCGATTATTAGCCGAACGTGGTTATGCATTTACAACGACGGCTGAACGTGAAATTGTTCGAGATATTAAAGAAAAACTAGGTTATGTTGCATTAGATTTTGAACAAGAATTGTCATCTTCCATTCATTCAAATAATGTCGAAAAAAGTTATGAGTTACCGGATGGTCAAAGGATAACTATTGGTAATGAACGTTTTCGATGTTCGGAAATTCTTTTTAAACCAACGATCATTGGTCAACAAGAATTAGGTATTGCTGAAATGGTTTATAATACAATTATGAAATGTGATATTGATGTACGAGATCGATTGTATCGTAGGATACTCTTATCAGGAGGTGAATTAGAATTAAATATTTACAAATCGTGCATAAAAACTTATTATTTATAGGAACAACACTCATTCCGGGTTTGGGAAATCGATTACATAAAGAAATGATAACATTAGCTCCACAAGCAACAAAGGTTCGCATTATTGTCGAATCAGAACGAAACTATGCAGCATGGCTTGGTGGTTCAATTCTTAGTTCATTATCATCATTTCAAAAAATGTGGATAACACAGCAAGAATATAATGAATTCGGTCCATCGATTGTACATCGAAAATGTATGTGATAATAGGAAAATTTTTTGTATTTAATTATTTTTTTTCTATATATTTTAATAAATATTTTATTTGATATAAAAAATTTTATGCTGTTCTTATTTATACCAATGAGAAAAATGTACCGATCGAGCTCATATATTGTTGTTAAGACTCGATAAGACTCGAAGAACTAGCAAAAAGGATTCATTCGCATAAACTGTATCTCTCAAGTTATGACTATTTGACTAGATTTTCTACCCGTTTGCAACGGATACATAAAAAAGTCTTGTCTATCGATAGGTCTTGTGATCAATAAATGATCGTGAAAATTTCAATTGGAAAGAATATACTATTCTTGAGATATCGAATGTCGAAAGCACTCTATTTGATGACTGTTTGTTGTGGTCCATGCTCATTATTTGAATATCCAGCAATCCAAAGAAGAACATATTCTTTTTAAATGAAGATTTTACAACGATCTATCGATACAATTTTAGATCATTATATTGTAATTCTATTTTTGTCCTATATGCTTTCATGCAGGCCGAAAATCTAGTAAGACGGTCATAAATCGAGAAGGGCAGTGTGTACAGACCAGAGATTTGCAAGTCGATCAAAAAGTGCTTCGCCTAGGATTTAATGTAAAAACAGATTTTTTCTTATGCACTTTTTCAGTCTCATCCAAAAATTACTATTTCATAAGAGCAAACAGAGATATCTCAAGTGGCGAGTGTCCCCCAATCTTGAGAAATTTTCATTCTTTCCCAGAAAAATTCGAGAATTTTTCTGTTTTTCCGAAAAAATTGTTCGATCGTCCCCAAGTTTGATCAATTTTAGCAAAACTATTCTTATCAATCTCATAATTCATCGATACTCCCCAATTATTGCCACCGCGGTCCACTTCTGAGATAAAATAAAGAACAGTCATTCACCAAAAAAGAAAAAGAATATTTGACATATTCATACTATTGAATAAAACCTTCGAACAGTTCTCTATCATTAGTACAAAAATCAGTTCTTATATAAATAGCTTTAATAAAAACAAAAATAGATAATGAGATCAGAATGAATAGTTATGCATTGTCAACCTTGTTCATAGAGTCAGTTAAAGTGAATATTATAGAAAAGTGAATAACAATCATTTATATAAATCCAACAAAGTTGAATAAATAATCAAGTATATAAGTAATACAAAACATGTTTAAATTCTATCCTAATTCGATAATTTTCTTTCGAGCTCTAGATTAGCATGCATATCATCATCTCGACAACAATAACAAAAAAAAATACATAAAACTATTACGTAAATAATAGATCCAAATAAATATATTCTTTCACTTTATTCAAAAAAATTATCTTATTAAATCATTCAGTTAGATATAAATGCATTTATTTATAGTTTGTGCTATTGTTGTTATTGTTTGCTGATGATACTAGGCGTATTCTACTTGAAGCTTGAAAAATCTTTTGAATATTTAATGAAGTTTAAATGTGTTTTATGGGAACTATATACTAAATTATTTACTGAACTATCATGTATTCTTCTTTTTCTGTTAGATCTATGTACATGACAGTTATTGTATTCGATCTTGTAATCTATTTTCGGATTTTTTTTTGAATCTATTATAATATCTATGCAGCAAAAAGTGTATAGTAAGCAGGCGAGTAACTCGTCAAATTTCAGATCTCTTATACGGACAAATCCTTTTGCAGTTCTTCTATTCTTATCGATTCCAACTTTTGGACATAATCTGAACTCAATTGGTAATTAATAGTTGAATATGTTCCTTAGTCAGATATAGTGAAGAAATCTGGAAAGGGTAATTTTATCAAAACATAGCAAGAAGGATGATGAATCTGATGTTTGTTTGATTCATGGTTCTTCCACTATAAGGTTTAAAATCAGATTAGCAAGTTTGTTGTCGTGTGTTAATTGATTATTAAACAACAATTTTAAAGCTAAATACTAATGGCTCAGCTTTAACGAACAGAAAAGAACGAACAAGTGAGCAATAATACCTTATATGGTCACATCAATACAACACTCCCTTCATTGGTTAAAATGCTATCCACTCATTCCCATATCAAAAAACAAACTCACTAATACTAAAAATGATTTAATACTCTATCATTGAAGTTATTCTATAAAAAGTGTATTTTCCAACCGAATGTCATTTAATGATGATGATGAAATATATTCTATTGTCATTGATAATGGTTCTGGTACAATCAAAGCAGGTATTGCTGGTGATGATTCACCTCGAGTGATCATTCCTAGTGTAGTTGGTCGTCTACGTCATTCGAAAACTCTGCCTGAAACGTCTCAAACAGATTTATTTATTGGATATAAGGCATTAAATAATAAAGAAATTTTATCTGTTCATTATCCAATTGAACATGGTATTATTACAAATTGGGATGATATGGAAAAAATTTGGCATCATATTTTTTATAATGAACTTCATGTTGTACCTGAAGAACATCCGGTTTTGCTTAGTGAAGCATCATTGAATCCTATAGCTAATCGTGAAAAAATGGCGCAAATTCTTTTTGAACAATTTAATACACCTGGTTAGAAATTTTACTTTATTCACACAACAAATCTCTTTTTTTTTGTGTTTTATTTAGCTATGTATGTAGCTAATCAGGGTGTTCTTTCGTTTTATACATTGGGTAGAACAGCTGGTATAATTCTTGAAATTGGTGATGGGGTTTCACATACTGTACCAATCAATGAAGGTAAACATGATGTTTTTTTCTTTATTGAATTTATTGAAATCTATAGGTTATGCTATACCGCATGCAATTAGTCGTGTTGATATAGCTGGACGTGATTTAACTGATTTTATGGTTCGATTATTAGCCGAACGTGGTTATGCATTTACAACGACAGCTGAACGTGAAATTGTTCGAGATATGAAAGAAAAACTAGGTTATGTTGCATTAGATTTTGAACAAGAATTAATAACTACAAAACATTCGAATATTATCGAGAAAAAATATGAGTTACCGGATGGTCAAAGGATAACTATTGGTAATGAACGTTTTCGATGTTCGGAAGCTATTTTTACACCAACAATCATTGGCCAACGAGAATTAGGCATTGCTGAACTACTTTATGATTCAATTATGAAATGCGATATCGATATACGATCAATTTTTTATTCGAATTCTCTTTTATCCGGAGGTATATTATTTTTAATATTTATAAGAACTTGTTTACAATTGAGTATTCGTAGGAACAACTATGTTTCCGGGATTCGCTGATCGAATGCAAAAAGAAATGACAAAACTTGCTCCACCGAATAGAAGAATTCGTATTGTTGCTGCACCTGATCGGAAGCTTAGTGCATGGATTGGTGGTTCAATTCTTGGTTCATTATCAACATTTCAAAGAATGTGGATAACAAAAGAAGAATATAATGAATCTGGTCCATCGATTGTACATCGAAAATGTATGTGATAATAGGAAAATTTTTTCAATATAATTATTTTTTTTAATATTCTAATAAATATTTTATATATAACATGAGGAAGTTTGTTGTATTCTCGCTTAGAAAAGTGAGATAGATGTACTTTGATTATGAGTTGTAATATATTATGCAGTATGGGAAGGACTTTCCCTTATGGCTCACGAGGAAGCATATCCAATTGTTAATCATTGATCAGGGTCATACTTTATGCATAAGTAAGAGTTGATGTCATTAGAACAACCTGAAAAGGGTGCGTTGGCATATACTGACGTTCTCGAGTTATGACTGTTTTTGTTAGATTTTCGACTAGTTACAAGGCATATATGCAAAAATCGAACTACATCATTGTTCATGAATCGGTCTTGTAGTCATGAAATGGTCGTAAAAAGAAGGGAGGAGGGGGTCGATAAGTGAAGAAATCGGTTCCGTACAGAAATATGATTTCTGTCATGTCAAACACTGACACAAAGTGTTCCAAAGTAATTTCTGGTCGAATTAGATCTATAGCAATTATTTGTGCTGTGTCCGAACCGATTGAAATGATCAATGGCAATGGTACGTACGCTATACTTGACTGCTGAAGATAAACAGCTCTTTTTCTCTATCAATACGAAGATCAGCCAGACTAGTATTCATACGGTTCGATAGCGTTTTTCAATGGCGATAAAATAATATAAAGTTATCTATTGTATTTTTCTGATCGAAATCTACTAAATACCAGACAAAAATTCCCCATAAAATCATGTTTTTAAGAATAGCACCCTTGAGATTTCTTATACAATCCAGTATTTTTTTAATAGATATTTTATACCCTTTTGTAGCCGTTGAAAAGGACATAATGTAAAAAGCTCGAAAAAGTAAAACATCACTGAAAAGAACAATATCGAAAAACCAAAATTTCAAAACAAAAAAATCTCGAACAGTCTATGGTGCATGATTTGCATTTATTAATCAAACAATATGTGTTTCTACTTAAAATTTTATTTTATAAATGAATAACAATGAAGTAACAAAATAGAAAAAGCGTAAAACTGCTAATAAGGAAAGATCATTTGTTTGTTCCATAGACTATGAGTGTGAGTGGGTGCAGGTGTGAGGTGGACGTGGGTCTTCTCTTCATCCACATTCACATCCTATTCTTCTGGGATAAAATTTTTACGACTATCTTTCGAGCACAAGGCGTATACGTGAATAAAATTTCAGATAATTAAATTGTAATTCGATATTTTTCATCTATGCCTTGTCACGAGTTGCAAAATCTAGTGAAACGATCATTTGATCTGAGGTTTGTTTGATTCACGATTCTTCCACAATAAGATTTAAAATCATACTAGCAAGTTTGTTGTTGTATTCGTCTACCGTGAATTTATCGGTTGTCAAGCAGTAATTTTCAACCTGAATTTCAATGGCTCAATTTTAACGAACAGAAAAGAACGAACAAGTGAGCATAAATACCTTATATGGCCATATCAATATAATATATCCTTGATTGGTTAGAATAGTATCCATTCATCTATATGTCAAAAAACATAAACGAACTAATAGTCAAAATGAAATAATTCTAAAATAATTGTACTTGACAAGTGAATGTCACTCAATACTGAAGATGAATTATATCCTATTGTCATCGATAATGGTTCTGGTACAATCAAAGCCGGTTTTCCTACTGATGATAAACCTCGAGTAATTTTTCCTACCGTAATTGGTCGTCTACGTTATCCGAAAACTCTATATGAAACGAGTCAATATATTGGAGGCGAAGCAATAAAAAGTAAAGAAATTTTATCTATTCATTATCCAATTGAACATGGTATTATTACAAATTGGGATGATATGGAAAAAATTTGGCATCATACTTTTGCTAATGAACTTCGTGTTGCACCAGAAGAACATCCGATTTTACTTAGTGAAGCACCATTAAATCCTAAAGCTAATCGTGAAAAAATGGCAAAAATTCTTTTTGAACAATTTAATACACCTGGTAAAAAAGATAATAACTTCTTGCATTTTAAATAATATTGTAGTTTATTTTGTGTTGTGCTTAGCTATGTATGTAGCTAATCAGGGTGTTCTTTCTTTTTATAGTTTAGGTAAAACAGCTGGTGTAATTCTTGAAATTGGTGATGATGTTTCACATAGTGTACCAATCAATGAAGGTAAACATGATGGCTTTTTTTTTTTTATTGAATTTATTTAAATCTATAGGTTATGCTATACCACATGCAATTAATCGTCTCGATATAGCTGGACGAGATTTAACTGATTTCATGGTTCGACTATTAGCTGAACGTGGTTATACATTTACAACGACAGCTGAACGTGAAATTGTTCGAGATATTAAAGAAAATCTTGGTTATATTGCATTAGATTTTGAACAAGAATTATTAGCATCAATTCATTCAAATAATATTAAGGAGAGTTATAAATTGCCAGATGGTGAAATAGTAACTATTGATAATGAACGTTTTCGATGTTCTGAAGCACTTTTTGTACCAGCTATAATGAACCGAGAAGAGCCTGGTATTGCTGAAACGGTTTATAGTACAATTATGAAATGTGATATTGATATTCGAAAAGAATTATATTTAAATACTGTTCTTTCAGGAGGTAAATTAATTATTTATTAATATAAATTTAAATTGAATTTGTTTATTATTTGTAGGAACAACAATGTTTTCAGGAATTGTTGATCGAATGCAAAAAGAAATAACAGCATTAGCTCCATCAACAGTGAAAATTCGTATTATTGCTCCTCAAGAACGAAACTATGCAGTTTGGATTGGTGGTTCAATTCTTAGTTCATTATCAACATTTCAAACAATGTGGATAACAAAACAAGAATATAATGAATTTGGTCCATCGATTGTACATCGAAAATATTTTTAACAATGAAGATATTTTTCTATTGATATAAATATTATTTCTTATAGTGTATCGAAAACTATTTGATTATTCAAGTTTTTATTTTTGATATAGAATTTTGAAAATTATTTCAACAGAATAATCGGTCTGAACATTGTAAAATTGTGTTTGATTTGAAATTTTTACTAAAAAATTGTTTTTTTTTTATCTGTTATAGATTGTCATAGTGCTTTATTATTTCCACGGATTGGTTTTTTCTTCTCTTTTTGTTTCTAATGGATGGCGGCTAAACAATTGCCCTCGTCTATTTTTCGGTTGATTGAAACACGTTTTTTATCAAAAGACAGCGCTCGAAATGATTGTGGGTGTGATTGAAGAGAAAACTCACATCCGCACACTCAATTCATTCCATTAATTATATAATCTAACAGATTTTAATTAGGCAGATTCATTGACTTATTGTTCTTTGGTAAGAATGCACGAAAATGGTTTGTAAAATATTTTTCATTGAGATAACATGTGTGAGAGTCAAAAACATTTTAAATCTTGGTGGATCCATCACCATTTTCATAATTATTTTTTTATGGTTATTTTCATGTCTTTGGTCGTTTTTCAAATATATCTATAACAATTTTTGGATTGTATCATATATGATTGTATAGAGAATTTCAAGCGTTATCTTTTTGATAAAGACAAATATTTTAATGAAGAAACAAAATAGAGGAGAAATTTTGAAAATACTAAAAATGTAATTATTTATTCGAGTTACAGTTAAGTTGTAAACTGGAACAAATTAAGTCCTAAATACTCAAATATATATTAGTGTGTTTTTTTTCATAAAGTTTTGGTATGAATAAATTTAAAGAAATAGATACATTAAAAATAGAGTTCTGCAGGACAGTTCCGAATGTCTTGTGGGACGAGACAAACAGGATTTTTCAGAACTCTAGTTGAAAGTAAACGTTCTATCCAGAAAATATTAAATTTTGATAACTACGATTGATAGTTGAATACGAATGTTACCCTTGTTTGCGTTGTTATTGTATCAGTATTCAAGATTTCATAAAGATTTTTATGCGAAGATTTCTTTAGCATTTAATCTTAATCCTATTATGCAAGAGAAAGTATAGTCAGTTGTTCACAGCCTTCGAATGTAAAATGTTTCATTATTTGTAAATCTTTTCGAATCAAACTGAACTTTTATTCAAAATGCTAGTTCTTGTCTCCCGAGATAGACGACGGAGCCACAAGACTTGGATAAGTCAAAGTCTATTAACTATTGAGTCTTTTTTCAATTAGTTACCGAGCATGTAATGAAAAACATACTGAGCAATGGAATACAAACCAAAATCGACTAAAACATTCTGACTTTTATGAAATTTGTTGGTAAGTTTGAAACACATATTTTCTTATGCAACTTGATGTGCTCTATTCAATCAATACGAAAAAAAAATACAGTGTTAAAATTTTGACTTGTGAATGATAGGGCAGTGCCCTATGATCTTGAGAGAAATTCATGCAACGTATTGCCAATGATGGTAATTATTACGTTTTTCTGTCTGCTGATGGTCACTCGGCCTGATCCACCCTCAGTTATGTCTCGTGATGAACAGAACTAATCGTCTTTGGTTCCAGTCCCGATAAGAACAAAATTTTTGATTCTGATTGCGCAATACATGTACTAGTGAAAAATGTGATATCATTTTCTAGGCAATATCAATGTGCTCGAGACATCTTGCATGATCTCTAACGTTCTCCCTCCTGGAGATTCATTACTTTTTTTAATATTGTTTATTAAAACAAAAACCATTAATTTTACTATCAAAATTATAACAGCAAATATTGAAGTGATTGTAACTTAATAATTTTCATCTAAACTCTTAGAAAATATGAGTCGTGAGAATATGATATTTGACACAAGCCTAATACGAGCACCAAAGTTATCATTCACAATGAAAAAGCGTTGATTCCGATCCCGATAAAAAAAAACACTGGTTCCGAGTCAAGTCTCGAGAATGGTACTGGATCTATTGTAAATATTTAAAAAGTCCATTATCTCGCTTAATACATGCCATTGATAGCTCATATTTTAAGGGAGTGAGAGCCTTAATTTGACCATGTTTGTTACTAACAATACAAAATTTTTCATTGTAATTGACATTCAAAAGCTCGTTTTCTCTTATTTTTCTTTTGACTTCCAAATGAAAATCTTATAATAAAATGTTAAACTTATCCTAGAATGAAAATATTCCGCCGCCTATATTTCTAGATGTCAGTCAAAGGCAAAGCAACCGACAAAAAGCGACAATGATTGTGTATTTGTTTCATTCGATTGCTTGTTTTTTTTTTGTATGTGTACATACATTCACTCACAATCAATCAGATATACTAAACAAAAAACAAAAATTGAAACAGTTGATTAATAAAATAAACAAAAAGAACTTTTACATATATGGCAAGTCAACCATCTAATGATAAACGTGTAAGTCTGTTTTTACTGAAAAAAAAAACTTCGATAAAAAATAAATTATATTAAATAGAATGATGCTTCTTCAACTCGTCCTCCACCAGCAGGTACAAATAGTGATAATCAAGCACGTAAACGTTTATTTTCTAAAGAACGTAATTATCATTATACTCTTTTATCGTTCTTAAAATAGTATATTATTATTATTTAGTTCGTAATATGATGTATGGTTTCGGTGATGATCCACAACCATATGCTGAATCGGTCGAATTACTCGAAGACCTTGTCATACAATATATAACTGACATGGTAAAAACAAAGACAAAAAATAGTTTTGGTTAACATGTTTTGTTTTTTATGTGTTATATCTTAGACATTAAAAGCAACTGAAATCGGTAGTAATAAACAAGGTCGTATTGTAGTCAATGACATTTTGTATTTACTTCGACATGATCCAAGAAAATATGCACGTGTAAAAGAACTTTTATGTATGAATGAAGAATTAAAAAGAGCTCGAAAAGCATTTGATGAACCATCAAAAGGTCTTGAATAATTTATAAATAATTCTTTTTCTTTTTTTTTTTCAGATTTAATATGAATTTATATATTTATGTAATAATTTTTCAAAATCTCTTTATTATTAATGTTCATTCATTAATAGATGGTCTTTATTGTGGTAAAGAAAATTGTTATGATTTATTAAATGTCACACGAGCAGCTAATAAACAAGAAATTATTAAAGCTTATCGAGGATTAGCTAAAAAATATCATCCTGATATGGCAAAAACACTTACGGATAAAGAAATATATACAGAAAAATTTCGAGCATTTGCTAATGCTTATGAAATTTTAAAAGATGAAGAAACAAGAGCTGATTATGATCGAATGTTAGATAATCCAGATCAGTAAGTTATTCATTATTTTATTAGTTAAACTTAGGATTTTATTTTATTTTATTTTTTTGTTTAAAGATATTATACACATTATTATCGTTATTATCGACATCGATATGCACCAAAAGTTGATGTTCGTCTTGTTATATTTATTCTTATATCCGTTATTAGTGCAATTCAATATTATAGGTTTATTTAGAAGATCTTATTTATCATAAAAACAAAAAAAAGAAATAATTGTTTTTTTTTTTCTTATTTTTATCTAGTCAATATAGTAATTATAATACAGCAATTAATTATCTTGTAACAGTACCAAAATATCGTATACAAGCACAAGAAATTGCTCGACAAGAAGGTTTAATTGGAAATAATAGTGAATCATCGAAAAAAAATCGTGGACGAAAAATAATGAGTAAACAAGAAGAAGAAGCTATTTTAAAACGAATTGTCGAACGAAATCTTGATATTAAAGGTGGTTATAAGAAACCAAGTAAGTTATAAATATTTTTACTATAATAAAATTTTTCGACTTTTTTTTTTCTCTGAGGTATTACACGTGTACTTTGGCTTCAATTAGTACTTTTTCCATATTATTTATTTTTAAAATTACAATGGCATATTCGATGGTTTTATAAATTTAATATAAATAAACATGAATTAGGTGAAGATGAAAAAATCTATTTAGTTTGTCGAAATTTAAAAATGAATCGTGAACAATATGAATCTTTATCTGAAAAAGAACATAATCAAATTTGGGAAAGACAAATTTGGATAAAAGAAAATTTTCGTCAATGGAAATTAGAAAAAGAAGTTGAACAAAAGAAAAAATTAAATGAATCAGGCCGTTATAAAGCATATCGTCGTTATATAAAAAGTGGTGGACCTGGACAAATAACATTTGATCCAGATTAATTGATTCATAGTGTTCTTTGTTTTACAGTCAGATTTTTCTTTTTTCTGTTGTCTTCAATTAATTCTTTTAATTTATAAACAAAAAAAAAAAAAAAAAGAAAAAAGAAAAAAAAAGGAAATGTATATATAATTTACAGTCGGTAAATAGATGATCATATATCTAAACACTACACAGAAGAGAAGAAACTCCATCGCTCACTGTATAACGACTTATTATCTACATAAAAAAAAAGATTAATTACTACTAATAGTGACCGTTTGTTTAATATCATTGTCAGTTGTTATTGTATTTATATTTCGTTTTAATGATGTGATTTGTCGATCAGCACCATATGCAACAGACATATTTGTTTCTAAATTAAGTGACTTTTTGACTTGACATCGACTGAGTATATCATTTAACCGAGTATCTTCACTTGAAATAACATGACTACAAAAACAGAAAACAAAAATTGTATTTAAAAAAAAAATTTTTTTTTCTTGTATGTAATATTTACTCTCGTTTTAAATGTTGTCGCATTAACATTCGAGATTTACAACCAACTGAACAAAAACAACATACATATGTATCAAAATCTTGATGATAAACCATATGTGATGTTAATTTATCTTTACGAAAAAAAAAACGACCACAAATATTGCAACCATAACGAACTTGTCTATCATGTATGGATGTTTTATGTCGAATCATTGTATGAACACTACTAAATACTTTATTACCTAAATATAATAAATTATTTTGTTTGAAATCAATAATATAAAAGAAATTTTTTTTTTTCTTACAAACTGGACATGCTGCTTTTGTATCAAGTCGAGCCGTAACTCCTTCGTCCTAATAATAAAAGAGAGAGAGAGACAGTGAAAAAAAGCAACGTAACGATAATAAATAGTATTTTTAAATACCAATTCATCTTGAAAAGGATCAAATAATGGTGAAACAGCAGGCGATGGTTGAGAATCAGAACTCTCCGGTGCCTATAAAAACAAAACAGTATTTAATATTCTTATTCATAAAATTCATTCTACTTTTTGAACTCAAATCTTATTCATATATAATTCATTGAATATGCGCTAATCTGAAATGTATTCTTTTTTTTCTTTTTCTTTTTAAGATTAGATCTCATTTAATTTTACTATGTCAAGGACTCCTTGAGGGTGTCGATATGCGTGAGAGAATGAAAAGATTATCTATATGCACATCTGTCTATAAAATAACTATATTGGAATGTGTAGTGTCAGTGTAAATACTGATAATGAGTTACTGATTACACACTGTAACGTTTAAGACATAAACCCTATCAAAATATGCTCTGCTTATGAAATACGATCTAAAATGAGTGTCGAACTTTATAGAGTAGAAATTTGTATTCTAAAGAACTGCTTATTATAATTTCTGGAGGACTAAATAAAAAGATGATGAAGAAATGTATCCTAAAATAGATAGAATTTTAAAAAAAATCTCCATATAATAAGCAACACCAGCTACATCATATTTCACATAATAATCCCGCAACGATTTCATTAACAACTCTTTTTATCGCAGGATGTTCCAGTACTTCAGTGGACACTAACTACACTGACAAGGGAATTTTCAAATGAGCTATCAATACTCTGAAAAGACTTCATGTTCTTAGTTTATTTCTTGAAATTGTGCATAAAGGCAAGCTTTAACGAGAATAGATTTTTATGCATATTTCAGATCTTATCACTGTTTGAATAGTTGGAGGATTTCTCTCGTGAGTCGGTAAATTGAAACTGCATCTCTCTAAAAATAACGATTACGATTATTGTTCTGTGCAGTTTCTTTTTTTATGATTTAATCTTGTTCTTGTTCGAATCTATTCAATGAATAGAATCGATGGTATTATCAAAAGGTTTTTGGAATATTGATTTATGTATTGAATATATCTGATTGCGAGCAAAAATTTTTTTTGTGACCTTTTTTCATTGTAAAAACATTTGAATAACATATATTTAAGAGGTTTCTCTTTACATAATATGATATTTATAAAGTTATGTTTATTGGCACGGTATACTATGAAAATATTTCATGAGATTAGCTTGATACCATAAAAAGAATATATTGCCTATAGAAATGATTTTCTAATTAATTAAACAAAAAAGAATTATTTTATCATGTGGAAAATTTCGATTATCAAAAACAACTTATGCGTAAATGAGATGAATAAGTATTAATTGAAAATTTTCTAAAAAATGTATTTTTTTTTTCTATGATTCAAAAATCTCTTAATAAAGATGAAATTTACATATTACATTGAAGTTTTTCTAGAATAAAATCAAATTTTTCGAATAAATACTTTCAAAAATACAAAAGTTTGAACATCTATCATACAAGTAGAACTCGTCAAGTGCAAGTTTATCGAACTTCTCAGACCAACTCGATGAGCTCAACATACAAGATAAAATAGTAGAATAAATAGAAACCTTTCTAGAGCAAATTTTACTCTACATAAATGAGTCATTAAAGGTTAACTATTTCTGGCTCTAACGAGCTATGTTAAAGAATGAATGAATATTTTATATCATAAGTTATTATAAGAAAAATGACATACATTGACAGTTGCATCAGGTGTACACATGCCATTATTAGCATGTTCTTGACCAAGTAAAAGACTATCAAATGTTTCATGACATTGAGTACATTTAAAATGTGTTGGTCCTGTTGGTGAACATGCTCGTGGATCAGTAAATGCTACAAGCATTGGACGTCGATGTATAATTGCTACAGTTTTACCTATTTCTCCATCATGAATAAGTGCAGGTGATGGTGATAATGGTTCATTATTAACTGGTTTAAGTGTTATCATTTGTGCCTGTTCATGTCTATCGTCATCATGATTATTTGTTGAATTTGTTATAGTACTATTTGCAGCACTAGATAATGATGGTGTTGTCCATAAATCATTTGAATAAATAAAATTTGATATTGTTGTTTTATCTGGTGATAAAACAGCTTCAATATCTTCTAAACATCTTGATTCATCACTTGATAATTCAATATCACTTTCAGTACGATGTATTTCAGCATTTATCATTTCTAAAAATAAAATTGAAATATAATTTTCATTAAAAAAAAAAAGATATTAAGATCTAACCTGGACTATTTCCATAATTTTTTATATTTGTTGCTGACCAAGATGCAATTAATGATGATGAATTTAATGTTGTTGTCGTTGTTGTTGTTGAAGGTGTATCAACAATTAATCCTCGTTGTCGCTTTGAAATTGATTCATGTGTATATTGTTGATGTTTAAGATCAGTTTTAACTGAAAGTATTGGTGTACTTGGTCGAGAATTTGTTTCAATATTTGTTGTTTCACGAATTGTTATTTCGGCTGAAAATGATCGACCACAAGGACATGTAAAACATTGATCGTTATTCATTTTTGCTATTGTTGAATTCGAAGCTAGAAATAATCAGATAATGTTATGTAATAAATGAGAAAATATAATCGAAAAATTTTCAAATAAATTGAAAGTAAATTAGAAAATAGAATTTCAAAAGAAAAAGGAAATCATTTCCTTTCCTATTAGAACTTCCTCGTGCCTATTATCAGAATTTATTTTCTTAAAATTCCTATTATTTCTTTCAAAGACTTTTTTTTCTATTGTTTTCCTTATGTACAAATCACCTACACTATATATAGAATATATTACGTCGTAAAAAAAGCCGATCTTATTCAAAGTTATTATTTTTTCTTTTTTCTTGTTGTCATATATGAAATCATAATATAGGCGTGCATATTCAATGAAATCTTTATCAGTTGTTTTTGTTTTTCAAGAAAATAAAAAAGAAAAGAAGATGTAACACTTACGTAAAGTTGATTCGCGATATTTAGAAAGTATTCCATCAAGCCATCTCATCAATAAATCAATTTGATGACTTTTTGTCTGTTCAATAGCTTTACTAATAATCAATCGAATTTCTTCAAATTCCATATTATTTAGGCTAGAAATAATAAAAAACAACAACAAAAACAGAACGAACACCTTAGAAATTTGTAATTATAACTAAACTAGTCATGATGTTTTTTTTTTCTTTTTTTTTTCTCTTCTTCTATTCCTAATAAATAAAACAAACGGCCAGCGCCACATATCGTTAAAATCATTCGAATATGTGGCGCTTCTTATTATTCATTGGCTTTTTATTTGATATAAAAAAGAAAAGCAACAATTGATGTGTTGTTGTAGAATTGTAAAGACGAAAGAGGGCAACTTTGATGATGGTTCAATGCACCCACGCATATTAGTTAAATTGTTTATTTTAGATTATTACTATTATTATTATTATTATTATTATTATTTGTTTCTGTAATAATCATTATTTATAAACGATGAATATTTATCAATAAATAATATCTTGTTAGTTGTTATTATTATTATTTTCTGTAAACATCTTTTAAATAAAAACTATAATGGAATTACGTGTTGGCCATAAATATCGTCTTGGACGAAAAATTGGTTCAGGATCATTTGGTGATATTTATTTAGGTACAAATATAGCATCAAATGAAGAAGTGGCTATTAAACTTGAAAGTTCACGTACAAAACATCCTCAATTACATATTGAATCAAAAATTTATCGTCTTATGCAAGGTGGTGTTGGAATACCTATTATTAAATGGTGTGGTGCCGAAGGAGATTATAATGTTCTTGTTATGGATTTACTTGGACCATCTTTAGAAGATTTATTTAATTTTTGTTCAAGAAAATTTTCACTTAAAACTGTACTTTTACTTGCTGATCAAATGGTATGAGAAGAAAAATTTTTAATCGAAACAAAAAAATGAAATTAATTTTAAACTAAAGATTGATATAGTGTACATTTCCATTAGATCATAGAGTAATATCAATTAGATCAATCATAAATAGTGACACATCAATAGATCTCTGAACTATTCCGAGATGGGATATGCATATAGATAATTCCCATCCCGATAGAATTGAAAGAAAACTATGTAATATTTCATTTTAAACCAAATCTTATTTCCTATATATATATCGAATAGAATATTTATTGGAAAACTTCTTATATAATCACATAACAAAACAGTAGTGATGGATGATATATGTTTTGAAGTCTATTAGAATTTGTATTGGTTGATTGTTTGGTGTTTTCTCTGAATGGACAATCCTTCTCTTCTCTAAATTCATCACTGTAGAACAGGAAAGATAAATTGATTGATTTTATTAATTCATTTTAGGTTAGTCGTGTTGATTTTATTCATTCGAAAAATTTCATTCATCGAGATATTAAACCTGGTAAATAATAAATATAAATATATAGAAAATAATATATATTTATTTTTATTTGATTTAGACAATTTTTTAATGGGCATCGGTCGTAAAGGCAATTTAGTATATATCATTGATTTTGGCCTTGCAAAAAAATATCGTGATGCACGTACACATCAACATATACCCTATAGAGAAAATAAAAATTTAACTGGTACAGCACGTTATGCTTCGATTAATACACATCTTGGCATAGGTTTGTTTGCTTTTTATTTTGGTCATAGCTATATTTTCAAAAAATATGATACAGCTGCTTATAAAGTTTTGTTTATATGATAAAAATAATACGCTAATTGTCATGTATAACTGTCGATATAGAGACAGACTGATAACAGATATAGTAATTTCTACTGATTTTTTTTTCTCATAGAACTTAATAGATTAGTAATGTTGCTTTTCTTAGTCTATAGAGATATTATTTCCTTAAAGAATATATTTCGATAAAATCTGTAATAATGTACATACTCGAAAGAGAATAATTATACTAATTAGATTATTCGATTTTCTATTTTTGTCTTTATTAGAACAAAGTCGTCGAGATGATATGGAATCTCTTGGCTATGTACTTATGTATTTTAATCGTGGTAGTCTTCCGGTATAATCAAAAAATTAATATTAAATTTGTTTTATCTTTCTTTTTTTTTTGATTTAATTAAATTTAAATTTTTAGTGGCAAGGTTTAAAAGCAGCGACAAAACGTCAAAAATATGAACGTATAAGTGAAAAGAAAATGTCGACACCAATTGAAGATTTATGTAAAGGTTTTCCTGGTAGGAAATGTTTCACTTCTTTTTTTTTTTAAACAGATCGTATTGGTCGCCGCTTTGTCTATTTCATTTTAGCAGAATTTACAACGTATTTGTCTTATTGTCGTTCATTACGTTTTGATGATAAACCAGATTATTCGTATGTATAATCATAGGAAAGAAATTAAAAAAAAAAACAAAAACAATCTCTTTTTTTCTCAGATATTTACGACAATTATTTCGTAATCTATTTCATCGACAAGGTTTTACATATGATTATATATTTGATTGGAATATGCTTAAATTTGTATGATGTGTATTCGAAAAAAACAAAATTTTCAATATTAAAAATTTTGATTTTCTATAGAGCGGTCAACGTTTTGATGCGAACAGTGTTAATGATGGTTCAGCAAATAAAATTGAAACTAATGGATTTAGTGCTAGTGGTAATGCTCAACAAATGTATACTAGTACAAATAATCAAGGTGAGTTAAAGAAAATCGAAAAAATTTATTTTGTTGTTTTTTTAAATTTTTATTTCGTATATAATATTTCTAATAATATAATAAATAATAAGAATAGAAAGTAATGCAATGACTATTGATCAAACAATTCAAGATCAATCGATAAGTATGAATGATGATTATGTTCCAATGACAACCAAATATATTGATTATGAAGAAAATAATAATAATAAAAAGTTGTACAAATCATCTTCAACTCGCAATGCTAATAGTAAAAAAACAAATGCAAATAATGATTATGTCAATAAAACATCATCAAGTTCAAATGTCTTCAGCCGTCTAATGCACAGTGAGCTGCATGTTCCAAATATTAAAAAAAAACCAGCATAATTATCAATAAAACCAAAACGGCTGCTGCTTTAATATTATTATTTTTTTGTTCTATCCTATGCCTTCTACAGTTATCATTGCATCTATTAATCTAACATATCTATAACTATGGATAGGAATAAATAAATAAATAAATAAATAAATATGTATATATTTATATCGATATATTCTATTTTGCTTTAGACTTCGATGAGTCTGAACCACCAACAACGAAATCCAGAATGAAATAATTAATAATAAGAGAAGAAAAAGAAAGAAAAAAAAACGTACTAGAGAGAAAGAGAGAGAGGTAGTCATTATCAAATACTTAATGTGTGAATGAGATCTCTCTTTCAATATATTCTATTGCACATATAAATATTACTCTACACGCATTTGAACTTCTACAATGCTTTCAATAAATATCTCTTTTTTTTTTGTCTTCTTTTCCTAAATTTGCTTTATGCTTTTATATCTTGACTTTTTTTGTTTTTATTTTGAAAAAAAATTAAAAATAATGTAATAATCATTTATTATAGGTGTGTGTCGACGAACATCTAAAGATATTCATCAAATACAACCACAACAATCAACATCGAATAATTCCAAACAACAATTACCAACTGGAACGGATACAGGTCGATCATCGTCAGCGCGTGTTCCTAAAAAATAATCTTGTACGTATATATATATATATTTTTTTTTCTCTTCAGTGTACAGCGCCTGTTTCTATCTTTTGTCTTCTTGAATTTTTCTTTTTTTTTAATATATATGTATATATATATATATTTATATATATTAAAAAATCATTCAGTTTGTTCATTTTTCGATCATAAATTTATTTGAGAAACGTCGATCTGTGAACAGTGTATATGTGGTCGATCACATTTCTTTTTCTTTCTCTCAGTCAAAAATAGATTGTTTTGACAATCAGCATCAATTTCTTCCATTGATCATATTTTCACATATGTTTGTATTTTTCTTCTTTTTTTTTTTTTGAAGTTTGAAACACGCATTTATATACACTCTATTCTCACTTTTTGGTCTCTAACACGTTTTTTTTCTGTCCTTGATATTTATTTGTTGTACTATTGATGCTGATCGTCATCTTCTTTCTTCTCTCTCTCTCTCTCTCTCTCGGTTTTTTTTGTTTGTTTCTTTTTGTCACTCTTTACGTGCGCGCAGCTTCAAATTACATATAAAAAGAGCACACACACAACATTATTCTTCGGTTTTTTTTTGTCTTTTTCTTTTGTTTAAAAGATCACATTCTGTCAATAATAAAAAGAAAAAAACATTATATAAAGAATAATTTAATATTTATATATTTTATATATAGTCAATGTTAACAATTGACAAATGAAATAGTTCGAAAAAATTATTTTTTGGTTAGAGTTTTACTAAATGAATATTATTTATTCTCATTTGTTTATACTAAATAAATTATCGTTTAGTAGATAAATTAAAGATTCGATTTTCTTATACACAAAAATTCAATTTGGAAAAATTTTAAGTGTTATACAATCATCACTATCTGCTTAGTATATAAAATATCAAATGTGAAAATATCATTACATGATTTGTGAAATATTACTAACAATGGAGGTGTTTGTGTTATTGTTAGTTAATAAAGCTAGACATATTCGAGTTAAACTAGCCTGCCCTTGACATTCACCGACCGACATATATTCGAATTTTAGTGTGTTTATGTCATGTGCTGTCAGTTCAAAATTTCAGCACATGATATAAATACCTTAAAATTCGAATATGTCGGTCAGCGTAAGTCAAGAGCAGCCTATAGTTTGGCGTGATGAAAGCTTTAGTTTGACCTGAATATGTCTAGTCTTATTATCTAACAATAGAAATACCTTCATTGTAAATTGAAAACATTTAACATGCACTTTTGATAATAAATTCAAAGAAATATGATATTCGAAATCGATATTCTAATAAATTACTTATAGATAATAATTAAATAGATAATTATTTTATGCTTGAGAAAAATATAATGTTTTTTATTACTATACAATTCTTGTACTCATATTACATCTAAGATTTTCAAAATATATTTGAACAATAAAGAAAACTAGGTTGTTCTGTTAGTGTAGAAGTGTATCAAGGTTTTGAATCGGCTGAAATCAATGGAATGAACAAGATTGATGTGTGTTTTTTTCCGTAGGCACTCATAGATCAAGTTCAATTCATGAGTCGACGTTTGAAAAATTGAGTGGACTCGATTGATTTTGCGATTTTAAGCTTCTCAAAAATAATGAGATGTAATAGAAGAGCATTTTTTTTCCTTTTCTAGTTGTACGCTTGTATAAAAATCTGGTACAATGATTGGACATTTCATTTTTTGTTTTACCAAATGAACACTTTAATGACTTCAGCATATAAGACAGAAAAAAAAATCTGGGTACCAGCTTTAACTAAGATAACCAAATTTGATCATCTGATCCGACTTATGTTGATATTCAGTTGCAAGCTATGGTATTACTGCCAGAATAGGATTCATTTACGTATCGTAAATTAATCGTAAACGGATCAATTCGATAAATCTGAGTTGTTTGTGTTAGAAAAGAATTTTGAATTAAACGAATCATCCATGGACGCTTATGATTTGCTACTGTTTTGCTTCAGTTGGATTGGACTGAAGATTTAATTATCGGCTGACGAAGGAATTTCTTCAGATGCTTCCCTTCTGATTTCAATGATTTTTTGCCTATAGATACTACATAGTGTTTTAATAGAAATTCTAAAAGGATTTGATTAATCTATCGGATTTTTTTTCTAAAGGTCCCAGATTTTCAAAAAACTCATATTTTCGAATTTTGATCTTAAACTTTGCATATATAGAGAACCTGTCTACATTAACTTCCATAAAACAAATACACACTCACACTTACATCCACTTTCAGACCATTCTAAAATGTACTGGCTTATACGATTGTACGTAATAACAAGAATACTGCAATTAGTTTATAAAAGCATTCTCTTTTGCAGTTTTTTTTCATAGTAGTTTGTTTTCGGTTTTTTTTGCCTTTTTAGAAAAATAAGACGGAAAAATCTTCTGATGGTCTTTTTTCAGAATACAATACATTTTTATTAATTGAATGTATGACGCTTGCTGCCTACAAATTGACATATTTTACTTTATTTGATAGAGGACTATTTCATGCATTATATCATGAAAATAGTCTTAGAATATACGATTCTTAAGTCTTTGTATACAAACATTGAACTCAATCAACACTAGTCAATGACAAAAAAAAAAGAAAATCACTTTATGTTTAGTTTTTGCTAATGTACAACAGATTAAATCGTCTCTTTTTTCTGTTAACCATTTTGTGTATATTATGTTGTTTTTAATCAACTACTATAGTGCAACTAATCGTTGAAAAATTTAATGTTATAATAGAATTTAAATCATTATTATATACGAGTAATTGAATATCAGCATCCATAAGAAGCAATAACGTCGATATTTAAGCAGTATATACATCATATGATGTTAGAGAATGAATATTTTGTTGTTCTAAATGTTAAATAAATTATGATACTTGCATGATTGCATAGATAAATATTTGTTGACGTACAGTACAACATAAGGATTTTTTTTTTATTTACTGTTTTATGTAATATATTTCTTTTCAGTCAACATAGGATAAAATTTATTATAATTCACCTGACGTCATCGATTACGTATAAATGTTTTTTTCATTGAAAAATTATGCATTGGATAATTCATAAAAAAAATATAAGGAAAGACAGTTCCTTTTCGATTATGTAAATATAAATATGTAGGATTCAATATTCTTTTTCAATTCAATCAAAAAAATTTATACACATATTGATGTGTTCTGACAATAGTAGTATATATCAATGCCTTAATAAGGGTTATTGCAGTTCAACGGGTACCTGTATATGTTCGAGTGATTGTTTCGTAGGTAATTTCTGTGAGATTAATTATAATGCAGCTCGTTTACCACTTAGTGGTGCTATCATTCAAGATATTCCAACAGCACGAGACTTTTACATAGTTTTCTTTTGCCTATTTGGACTGTATGGACTTGTAAACAATATTCTTTCGTTGATAACATTTATGAATGAACGAATACGTCTTACAGTATGTGGTATTTATTTAATTTTGTTTTCTATATTTGGTACAATGCTTACATTAACCATTTTTACTTATATAATAAATATTGTTTATTACAAAAGTAAAACATATCAATTATTGGCTTGTTATGTCATACCATTTATATCTGTTATTTGTAATGATGGAGCTATTTTATTTACTACAGCAATTGCTGTTGAACGTATCCTTATTGAATGTTGGAATTTTAATAGTCAAGCACGACGAACACGTGGAATGTTTATATCAATAATTATTATCTTTTTTATATGCTGTTCGAATATAGATGAAATTTTTATTCGTCATATTTCTACTGATCTTCTAGATAATGAGATTTGTATCTATGATTTTGATCGATATCCAATATGGCGTCGTATTGATATTGTTTCTTCTTATATTCATGTTATTATGCCTTGTGTAATACATTTTATTTGTTCAGTATATGTTCTTACAGTAATTGCTCGTCGAAAAATATTTAATCGTGGTATAGAAAATAAATTTTTTTGTATATGGTTTGAACAATTATATCTTAATCGAGATTTTTTTATTCCACCAATATGTCTTATTTTTTGTGTTCTTCCACATGGTATACTAGGTCATTTACTTAGAACATGTATACCATATTCAGATAAAAGTAAACTTCGTCTTCATATATCATTCATAATTTTATTATTTGTTCCACAAATGTCAAGTTTTATCTTATATGTTTATCCGAATCAAAAATATTGGAAAGAATTTCAAAATACAATTATTTATCGTAAATTTTGGTACTGTTTTTATCATAGACGTCGAAGATTACAACAACAAATCGATATGGAATTACAACGAGAACAACTAAGAATGTCAATATAAACCATTAGTAAAACAATTTCTGCTAGTGAACAAATGAATACCATTCTCTAAATGAATAATAATTTTATTTTCACTTGTTTTTTTTTATGTTGTATTATCTTAGAAAATATAGGTTATAAGAAAACGATGAACAAACTTTTAATACAAAACTCTTAGATATACAACAGAAATGTACACCATACACGCTCTAATAGCAAGTGTGAGTCATTTTTGAGCAGTCGTACCTTAATCATACCATCTGTTAAACTCTATAGCTAGGTGTTTTCAAAATAGAATGTATATTAAGTGCTGAAAAGTTGACGGGAGGAATTTAATTGTTGACAGACTTATTCATTTTTAGATATTGTTTGCTTTGTCACTCCATTTCAAATACATTTTTTTTTCATTGTGATGAGCATAATATTTCAATTTACCTAAAATTTAAAATTGCACAGATTTAACTACAAAATAAATTAGGACGAAAATGAACACTCTATAAATATATATAGATATATATCCGGTTACATTTTGCCTTATTAAATACATTCTTTCGTGACATTTTCAACTTTATGTTTTTTGTTCTTAGGTAAGTGTTCAGAAATGAAGGCCAGTTTTTAAGTAATATTATTGTGACACGACAGTTCTACGTCGATACTTCCGCGAGATGATATTTTCGCGTGCGATACTTCCGCGAAAAATAAAATTTTTTGCTTTTTTTCTATGTTAAGTTAATATACCTTCTAAAATTTTACTAACTGCTCGGGAATGTGGATGTCGGTTTTTGTGTGGGTTTTAGTGTTGGGATGTGGTTGTGGAGACTAGGGTTTCCATTCGTTTCATATATTTCAACATCCACGCCGAAACTTTACACTCACACCTACAGAACAGTCAATGGAATTTTTGAAGATATATTAACTTAAAAAACTTCATTTTGCGCGAAACTGTCGGTGAACCAATATTATACAGCAACAAACATAAGGAAAAAAATTGGCAAAAAAACTTGTTTTTCAGTTACGGTGTAGTGTTGAAGCGGTTGCGCTGCCGATCGAGCAAACTTTAGGCAGTAGCTGTCTCCGCCTCGTTTTGTAGACGCGGTGTGTATTTCTGATATACACATGTCCGTTTTCAACCTATGGAACATTATTGTCCTACAAGGAAACGTTTTCAACTGATCAATCCTTTTCTCAAAACTCTACTGGACTATGGGTTATCGACTATACTGGTTTGCTAGGAAATTAGTTTTCCAGACTAACAAACATTTTGCCAAAATCGTTTATGATCTACTCAGATTATAGAACATATAGAGTTTTCTGTAGGACAATTATTTTTTCTGTTTTTCAAAAATGAATTTTAAGTAAAATAATATAGAATATAGGTATAGGTGTGGATCTTGTCTTCTTAATCACCAACACCAAACTAAAGTATGCTATTGCATTTACAGGTTTCAAAAAGCAAATTTAGACGAACACGCTATCCTAGCTGAAACAGGTCAGACGAGTATTGGAAAAAATTCAATCTGTTTGTATAACAAATCGAAAACTGAAGAAATCATAAAATGATGCTCTGTCTTATAGGCGTGACAAATGGTTGAATTGTACATTAAATATGAAATCGTTCGATGTCTTAATTATAAGCAGTATTAGGAATGCAACGGTGACGGTGAACCACGGGTTCATTGTTCATTGGTGTATTGTCACCGTTACATGCTTAGAGAAAATTGTGACAAAATGTGGTTAATTGAACAGTTAGATTAGACATATCAGTGGACGATGCAGTAGTGAATACGAAGGCAGGTTATCAAGTCGCTGGTAACAGATCTGGTACGAATTTGCATGGTAATGAGACACAAAACTTTGTGAACATGGTCATTTCGGTCAGGAAATGTCTATTTTGCGAAAATATTTTTTCAGAATGTTTCTCCAAAGATATTCGAGGCTGAGAAATCAAAATCTGTGATGGGTTTGCCAATAAAGGTCGAGTTAGAAAATTATAAGAAATCCTTAGTAAATTCGAACTATTCGAGTCCAAACAGCCTTCCATCAAAGTTTATAAAAGAATGTTATTTTCGTAATATAGATTGTTCGTGGCCAGAAAACTGAAATCACAAATTCTTCATTACCGATTACTTTATATTGTAATGACAACTAACTAGAAATCGAGTGGTGTGACCGTTGAATCCATAAGTAGCATTTTCGCAAACACTCTTCTCTCATTTTTTTTTTCATTAATGATTATTTATTTCCTTTCTTTCGAATAGATTCAAGATTTTGTTTATATACTTCAAGATTTTGATAACGAGGAGGTAATACATATTGTCTAATTTCAACTACACGTTTATACGAAGTAACTGCCTCTGGATACTTTTTCATGCTAGTATATACTAAAGCAATATTATTATATGAAGTAACCAATAATGGATGAGTTGATGGAAGTTTGTTATCAAAAATTTCGAATGCTTTTTTTCATAAAATGAGAGTGCTTGTAAATAGTCATTTATATTAGAATATACTAAACCAATGTTGTTATAACAAGTAGCTATATTAGGATGATCTGGAGAGAGATGATTAAGATATATTGTAAATGCATCTTGATAGAATTCAAGTGCTTTCTTATAGTTTTGTTGATTAGTTTTCACTTGTCCAAGTTGATAATAGAAATGTCCTTCCTTAAGTTCATCGAATGTACATTTACACATAGTTTCGAATACTTCTTCAGCTTTCACAAACTCATCAAGTTTTATCATTAATGTACCCAATCGATATAAAGCTGATGGTCCTTGAATTTCTACTCTCATGCGTTCGATTAAATCATGGAGTTGTTGATCACTATCGTTTATCAGTGTAAGATGAATGTGCTAAAGGCGATCGTTGGTGCTGCTTGATTTTATATTACCAATACGACAAATAGTCTGCATTGAGAACAAAATTTCGTTTTCTTTTTCATAGTAGCTAATGTCATTGATATTGGCAAAAGGAATCGATAAGATCAATGGATTTAGATTAATGATGAAAAGGATACCGATTGACGTGGAATTATTTAAAGCCATTTTAGCAAACTCTAAAGCGATCTTATCGTCTTTACCTGTTGATAAGAAATTATTAAACGATATCAATCCACCTTTTGTTTTTTTTAATTCTGCAAATTTTTCTGGCATTATGCTTTGACCACAATAGATGATAAATTCATTTTGAAACTCTATCAATTGTTGCAAATGAAATTTTTTAATATGTCGATGTAGATTGCAAATAAAAAATACCATCCTTATGATAACATGAAATTCTTGTTGACGAAGAGCCCAATTAACCATATGATAAATGAAAACATTCATAAGTATGCCACCATCTAGGTGAATTATCACCATATTCTTGCTCAAACTTTTGAATATTTTCTATTTCTTTCTGATTATTAGAATATTTATCACGACAATAGGTAATCAAACCATAAAGACTTTTATCATTATATTCAAGTTCAAGAAGAATTTCTTTAATTAATTTTGTATACATAAATGATTGATTCAAGTTGATCCAAACTTTGATCAGATATATCATTTGTTGAAAAAAAATTAATACCTATAGAATCTTCTTCAAATTGATGTGGTACTTGTTGTAATGATTTACATAGAATGGTAATATCTGTAAAAATATCTCGAACTTTGGACCACTTTCTTTTTAATGACTCATATTTTGAGTTGTTTTTACAAAAGATGAAAACTGCTGTAAAAGCTGAGACATGTGATGAATATGAAGCAAGACATATTGATCTGGGTTACTAGATACTACCATCAATACTTTTTATTTTTTGAATTTGTTCAAATAATTAACATATTGATCAGCATCATTAAATATATGAATGCTATTTACGATTGATTATAGTTGTATGATTGTATTATGATAATAATCATCATTTACATTGATGTTCGTGTCCAACCAGAAAAAAGTATAAGTTTGAATAATAAAAAAATCTTCTGAAGTTTTCAATATTGTACCAATATTATTTGATCGTGATATCGAAGCAGTCGACACTGTTTGTATTGTTGTTGGTTTAGCTTTAGTAGAAGGATTCATTTGTTTAGATTTTATTTCACTAGAGACATTACTGACTGTGATCAGTTTCTTTTTGTCCATGCTATATAAAAATTTCTGAACAAGCAAAACACTATATGAATCGAAACACTGACTGTGCAACTAGAAAATACCCTTTTTTTTCAATGACTTTGTTTTAATATTTATAATAAGAGAATTTTTTTGTCAGCTTAAAATTTTGATTGGTTTCTATGAAAATTTTGCTTCACATGACAAGAAATATCAACATAGACATGCATTAACAAAAATCAAACAAACAAGAGTTGGAAAAAGTTGTTATGATTTCATCGAAGTAAGTAAAAATGATCGAAGCTCGTTTCGTCAACATGCATGCATTATTGTGTGCATTTGAAAAAAATATTTGGTTGTTTTCAAGGTCACGAAAAAACGCACAAAGGAAACAGTGGTTTGTGTCTCACGTCACATGATTTGATTAAATGTTTTTTAAGGACGTTCTAAAAATTCATTCAAGTCCTAGCATACTTGATCCATACCAAAATATATAGATACACTGCTCTGGGTGTGTCTTTCAGCAGTACTTCACTCTCACGGCAGAGCAGTAGCTTTCACAATTTGTTTTTTCGAGACTTTTTTGATAAATCCCGATATTTATTTCTGTTTTGAGATTTATTATGCTTTTTTTAAATAAATTCTGCTATCTGTCCCTATTTTGAAGTTTATTAGGACTTGAGAGTGTGGGTGTAGAAAATTCATAGGTCCGCGAGAAACCAAATTTATCTCGTTTTATGTATGGGTATACGTATTCTTTTCACTCTTACCTATCGACACCCATATCTCGCACCCGATAGAGACTAAATGAGGGAAAAGTATTAGAGGAACTAAAGGTACTCAAAGGACTAAAGGATGAAATATATGAAGTCATCGTAGCTTGAAAAGTATAAGAGTAAAAACTAGATAAATTTAGTTTCTCATGAATACCTCAAGGAATTAGATGCAGGAGAATGTCAATAGATCCATTGAGGAATTATTTGATGTTAAAGAGTTTGTATGAGAATTCCTGTGATATAATTAATATTTTCATAATAAATCCACTGGAAAAAATTAATCCACAGATAAATTTATTTATATTGAGATATATTTCGATTAAACTTACACTAGACATCATATTTCTATAATGTATGATATAGAAAAAAAAAAGATTCTGGAAACTTAAAAAGATTCAAGAAATCCCAAAGAAAAATAAGCACTGGTAGACCCATTGTTATTCTCATTACTAATGAGAAAAATAAGTATTAAAAAAAGATGTATTTTCTTGCTGCCTCGAATTACAAATTTTCAAAGGCATCCATTAATTTTTATAAGAGTAAATATTTTTTTTCGTTTGAAAAAATGAACAAGGCAGCATTTAGACATGCGTTTTTATTTACACAATAGGTGTTTACATAAAAACCTTTCATTAACAGTAGAAAATGTCATAAAAAAATGAATGTTTGTCGTTCTTATCTTTTGTTTGAAATTGCCAAAGTAAAAGCAAAATTGATGCATAAACAACATTTTTGTAGTTTTGTGGTGAACAATCGATTCTAAAATATTTTAAAATTCTCTCAAAAAAGATGGGTTCTGGGTGCTGCGGTGGCAACCGTAATGTTGTACAGCCTAAAACAAATCCTGATGTATACAGAACCAAAAGTCCACCAATAACACGTAAACCTGAAACTAAATTAACCAGAAATAAAAGTCCACCTATAATGCGAGATAATTCAACAATGGAGCGATTTTTGAAACCTATCATTACCACAACAAATCCTTTGAAACTTATTGATGGTTATCTCCATGAACCAGTTGTATCTCTTGAAGAAGCTCTTCAACCATTCGATGGTCAAATTGATCAATTATCTTATTACATTAAAGAAGCTAAAACCAAATGTCATCATCCATCAGAACATAATCTAACACATGATGAATCAGCTGCTATCTATATTTATACAATGAAATGGGATACTAAATGTGTTTATGATCGTTTGCAAGAAGCATGGAAATCTGAAGATCGATCTAAAATGAAACCATGGTTCAAATATCTTAGATTATTTAAAAGTGCATTTGACAAATTACCTGATGCAAAGAAAGAAATTTGGCAAGGAACACTTTTTGATGAAAGGCTCATAGAAAAACTAAGTTCAAAGTCATCAACAATCTATTCTTCTATGGGCTCATGTTTACCATCATCTAATGAAGTTAAAGACTATCTAGAAAAACATGATAGTACAAAGATAATTCTTATTGGCTATGAATCTGTCCATGGAAAGTCAATAGTTGGTAATACAGCAAATCCATGGAACGAACACATATTATTTCCTGGTACGAAACTGGGTGTAACAATTTACAACGTGATCAACGCTAATGGTTCATTGAGTATACATTTCAAAGCACTGACTAGTAAGTAGAAATGTAGTACAGCCATACCCTTTTCTCTTTGTTTCTGTTGAATTATTTATCATATAATCAAAGCTCTTGTTGATATGATGAAATCTGAATAGATGAAAACACCTTTACTTAATAATAGAGTATAGATTACTGACTCTTCATTTATATTTAGATACTCCTCAACCAACAGTCAAAAACAAAACACTAAAAACGGAAAAACACTTCGTATGTGAGAATCATGCTTGTAGTAATAAAATTGATTCTTATATCAGATCATCGTATTTTCTTTTACTTATATTTAGACTTATTTTGACATGAACAAAATATCTGAAAATATGCATCGTTGTCATAGCAACCATAATTTGCATCATTGTAATGGATGTATTGTTCTTTTGAATTCATCATTTGTCTTATGATCGTCTATCATGTAATAAGTTTCAGCTCTTTAAGTTAGAAAGTGTAAAATAAATGAATAGAATCTTTTGCATATTTGCAAACATCATTGTGGTTGTAGGTATAGCGATTGTTCAAAATTCATGTAGAGATCAACCATAATGAAGTTGTTTAGAAACTTTTGATTTTTAGATGAAAAAAATTATTGAATGAATCATCAATGCTATCGCTGTGATAAATATAGAATTTATTCATTGATGATGTAAGCTTTATTCATGCGAACAACTTCGAATCATTGTTTGAGAGGGAAACAATACATGAACACAGTTATTGTAATACAGTATTTGAATGTAGAGAATGTCAAAGTCGTAGAAAGTATTCAGCTTTTATGTCATTATCACTCGATTTTCTTTGTTCGATCTGTTTTGACAAACAAAACAAAATAACTGAAAATAGTTTTTATTGTGATAAATGCTGTCTTAATAATCATTCATTTATTATTATTGTCGCAATCATAATATGAACAATAGAACATCTGTTTTTGCAATCTAATAAATTAAGTGAACAAGATGTTAAATAAAAGATGCTCGAATCACTTGTCGTTATGGATAAATGAATATCGAAGATCGATGAAATCAAATGTTGATGCTCTATCTTTTGAGTATATTGCATGAAAAATTCTCTGATTTGTTGAACCATAATCCTAATAAACATTTATGGTACGATTTTTGACCACTTCCTTGATGGTACTCATAAGTCAATATTGGCTAACTTTACCATAATACATCCAAATGAGTTAAGATATTGGGTTTGATGGTGTTAGATGATGGCTTTGCGAACGCACATAAAATACCAAAAAGATTAAATTTTGAACAGTATTTCATACACTAAGGTAAACCTTGGTATTCTTATGAATGCTCTCTTACGATAGAGGTCTACATTTCTTCTTTAGTGTATTTAAAAGCATCGAAAAGATACTTAAGTGGATGCATAGTTCGGTGACAGAATTCTTTCCGATAATCTTAAAGGCCAAAAAGTTTGTAAAATTGTATGTGACATTGCACACATATGGTTGTATCTGTCATGATTTTGATACAATCCACGTTATAACAATCAATTTAGTAGCTGATTGATTCTCAGATATTCTACAGATGTAGAAAGACTAAGATTATTGTCACGTTGCATGAAATGCTTTACTGTCACAAATTTCATCACCATGGCAGGGCCACTTTATTGTCGATTCAATGATCTTCTCATGTATAGTCTCAATTAAACGAAGTAACTGTCTCATTTATAGCTGTTAAGTTCATGTTTTGTCTGTTAAGTTTTCAAAAAAAAAATCTCTGAACTTCTATTTGTGCTGTGTTTTCTGATTGAGTTTCTTAATAAAAAGTTTTTTATGATCACGGTTTTTTTCTTGTGACTTTTTATTTTATTATTATTCTCTGACCATATTTCATCAGTCACAATGTAAACATCAAAGGCAATTCGTTTCGCCAGTGACATCGTCGGATTTCTGAAAAAGGAGTAAGGACGAAGAAAATGATTCATATATATATATATATTGAAGCATGTGAAGAAACAAATGCAACCGTTGCTATTTACTCTTCTTATACAACACTCTAAACAATGTATTTTGTGCATGAAAAGAAAAGAACAAATAAAATTAACGATTTCACAAGTTTAATGCAAGATTAATGCATGTATAATATAGGATATTGCAGGTAGAGCCCTTCATCGGACCCGAAAACGACTTGTTGGATCCGGTCAAAGAAATGTCA